AGACCCACACATTGCACTGCCAGGCTTTGACACTCCTCCAAGACTCTGGTGTAACCATCAACTTTGACATTCCTCCAAGACCCTGGTGTAACCATCAACCGCATCAAAACATCAACAGATCGATGTGCACATTTCCTTCATTAATATAAAGTTAAAGAGAAGCCACAGTGAAATTGTGGCCATGCAACTCACACTAAGAACTATATAGTAAACCACTATGGCCTGTGCTCCTTCAATATAGGAATAGCAAAACTACCTCGAAATTGGCATTGAGTATACCGCCATGTACACTGCTGGATGAAGGCCTTCCCAAGCCTCCGATGATGTAGCAGTCCATCCGGCACCTGCACACTCCATCTCCTAGGTGAATGTCCTCTTGGACCTGTTTCATTCTTCAACAATGTACGAGGTACAAGGCACATTGTTGAGATCTGTGTCATTCTGTAGCTGTCACTCGGTTATTGTTTTTGAGCGTAAGCCATCATCCGTTCTGCTGACTGATCTGCCAAAGCCTAAATAGTTTGGATGATGGCATTAACCCCGCACCTCCGATTAGCACAGTTGGCGATGTACGGCGCGAAATAAGTTCAACACAGAGTACATACACACATTCTCGAATCCACGTGTTCCTATTTCTGTCTTTCAATGCAATTCCAAGCATGCATCTCACCATGCTTCTTTGCACAATTTTCAGTTTTTGTTCAAAAATTTCCATTAATTACCATGTTTCTGAACCATATATCATTGCAGGTAATATGCACTGATAAACATAAAAAAATTATTTAAATACAGTGCTATGCTAATTTTCAATATCAAGTTCAGTTTTTACAAAAGCACTCTAACCTGCTCTCGACCATCTTTTTACTTCATGATTTTACTCCAGGTCCACTGTCAGTAACTGTCCAAGGTACATATCTTCTGACGTTTCTTCCAGCTGTGACAAATATATTCATATATCTCCAGCAAATATTTTAATTTCTTTACTGTGCCTCACCTAGATGATGTTTGTTTTGCTCATTTGAGCTTTGGTCCAACTTTGTAGCCTTCTTTGTGAGGTGCTTAAATAATTCCTATAGTTAATTTCTAGTAGATGCTATAATCACAATGTCAGTAGGAAATCTGAGATGGTTAATGTATTCGTCGTTAATCTTTATGCCATTGTTTCTCCAATCCAGTTTTTAGAAAACATCTTCTAACGTCTCTGTAAATAACTTTAGAGAATGCGTGTTAGTTTGCCCCCCCTTTTAATGTGTATGTTGGTATGTTCTTAATATAATATTAGAGTGGACATTACATGTTTGTAAAATTATTTTATTATTTATAAGTCTTGGCACAATGGTTATTGACATTCATTGGTTTTTCGAGAATATGATTTAAAACAACAACATAATAATATCTTCTTGGTTCTTTCGGTAAAGTCACGTAGAAGGGAAGTAATAAAATAATAAAATAAAACATAATAAAATAATTCTCACGAAGTTTCGGCCACAATGCAAGCAGCCGTCCTCTCCCCGACAGACCTGGTTTTCACCTGAGGATGGCTGCTTGCGTTGTGGCCGAAACGTCGTGAGAATTATTTTATTATGTTTTATTTTTATTATTTAATTACTTCCCTTCTATGTGACTTTACCGAAAGAACCAAGAAGATGAATCCCTGCAGTCACGAAAGCTTTAAATCGAAACATAATAATAATGACCTTTATTTTCACAGGAAAGTCGGTGAGTTTCAAGGTTCTTTTTCATGAGTGCCTTGCATTTGCACAAGATGGAGAAATCATGCTTACGAGAGGGTAACATTCAAAGCTGCATGCTGATGGACTAAATAATTGCTGGAATCAATTATCCATTACTCGCCACCTTTCAAGTCAAGCCTACAATCCCAGACAGTCTCCCATTCACGTTCTACCCAGGATTCACCTTGCCGAGGTTCTGACATCTTATCATATAATGTTTTGTTTTACGTTATTTAACCAAAAATTGGATAGGCCACTTTGTGGAGAATTAAGTCATTGTCCAACTGAAAGAGTAACTATCACCATAAGGAGTTCACATTTCTTAAAATGGACCTTCATGGCATTTTAATTATAGACAATATTGAACATTATTCGTCGAATGTACAGCTGTGGAATTTGGTGGATGAGGGCAGCATGCAGTGATACAGTGGTTAGCGTACTGCACCATCAACTCAGCTACCTGAGTTCGATTCCCGGAAAAGACAACATTGAAATTGTATCTGACCAGCAGAGTGAAGTATGGTCAAACAAATCCCCATGACTGATATGACAAGGGAGGTCCTCATCCAGCAGTGGTTTGACAACGCCTTTTAATTATTTTGTCAGTACACGTGCATACCTAAATGTATGTGTTTGATTCCCAGAGAAACTAATAATCCCAAAGTATGCATGAAGGGGTGCATTCTGGGAATAACATCGAGAGACAGAAAGACGAATACATGGATCATGGACGAAATGCAATTACAGACATGTTTAAGGGATGATGGCCGATGAATGAGATTTGTGATTAATTGCCAGTCAAAGGAGGGAATACGCCTGAGAGGACGGCCACCATAGAGATGAGATTATGAGATCAACTCATGTGCATGAGCAGGACGTTGGGAATACCAAGGGTGTGGGGAAGAATGGAGTTGACATAGAATGGCCTCCATCCAATCATGGATATATGGCTGATGATGATTATACGTGCATCTGGCAGTGACAGACACTGTCATCCTGTGTATATTTTTTATTTTTAAAAAATGTATGACCTTGCTGCTTGATATGGCAAAACAGTTGCTTAGGCCGCTGTATGTATGTTGAACTTCTTTCACACTGTACGTAGCCAATCGTGCTCATTGGAGGTTAGGACAAAATAAGCTGCTGACGGAAGCTCCTTCACTCAAGGGAGCTCTCATGAGCACCTCTAAAAGGGCATTTGCCCTACTCTTTCATGCTGGACAGAAGTTCTTGGAAGCCACAGAAGAACCCACACTTTACCCCATCAAACACAACCTTCCGATCGACTAACTGTGGCGCACCCATTTATACTGCTGAAAGTAATATCAAAAGGTTCTTGAAATGTAATCTTGTTATTAAATTCAATTGCCAATTTTTGTTTACAACTGTTGGATAGGTGTTGGTAATTATGCAGCAAACTGCTGCATGATTTCTCGAATAAAAAATATCCTTGAGAGTAAGACCACAAGGGGGAGCCCTACACTTACTGTGAGATCTCAACTCCTCTGTCGGGCAGTCCCGCCATCAATACACTTATATTACCATTTAATTATTAACAAAGCTCCTACGCCTACAACCAAACAACTGCACCCTTCTGAAAAAAAAGACTTTGTAACTGATAAAAATGTCATCATTAAGAGTATCAATTTAAAGTGATGTTTTAGCCAGGGTTAGGGGCCGTCCATAAATGACGTCACGCGATTTTGGACGATTTTTGACCCCCCCCCCTTCGTCACACGGCGTCACAAAAAGTCAGATCCCCCCCCCTCCAATATGACGTCACAAAGCTCTGGCCCCCTCCCCCCCCCAAAATAAAACATGCTTCAAATCGCTTTAAACTATTGTCATCGGAGTGCGTGTTTAATGTGGCGCTGCACTCTGATGTTGTAGTAGAAAACATTTATTTAAAAGTCTATTTAATTAAGTGGAACGTGTTGTCTATATTTATTTAAAGTTGCGTATTTTTATGTTACGTCACATTTATCAAACCCCCCCCAGGTGCGTGACGTCATTTATGGACGGCCCCTTATATTATGGTGCACTGTGTGCATTTTTAGTGACAAATAGAATGCGAAGTTTCTAGAATGTATCGTGGTCCAAGCCGTGATATATGCTTTATTGTAGCGATGTCCTCAATCTCGCTTTTCCCCATTGCAAGAAAAGTTTGTGCAAATCGCAAGCAGTGCTTTATTGCTCAATACATTATCAGCAAAAAATACAGCACCTTTGGCTCCCCAGTGTTTCACAATACACAATAAATGTTTTTACAAAAAAGAATGGTGAAAGTACATTTAATATTCATTGCCAAATAAGCGAATTTATCAGGACTGCAACAAGAGTATAATATGCTTTCCCATTATTCATTCCGGACTTGCCAAAGGGATAGATTTCCCTTGATTTATTGATCCCTGATTAAGTTTCGCCGTGTGTTCTTGGAATGAATTAGGCCAAAGGCAGTGCAAGCTAATTCCCATCCTGCAGGTCATTTCAGATAAAACTGAACCGCATCATCATCTCATTTTCTCCATGGTTTGTGTGGGTGAGGTGACACAGAGACTTTTGAGCGAAGCTTTAAGCATTGCTTTACCAAGCCTCTTGTCTCCATTGCAGAATTTAATCACAACAGATTCATATCTGTGGGAAATGCAAATAAGTTACTTATAAAGTTCTAAAAACCTGAGAAGCTTTTTCACAACAATAAAACAAATGTTATCACTACAACACAACCATAAAAACACTAATTGACCATTATCTAGAAATCTGGTTAATTATGTAACCTGCCATCCTTTCCTTATTCCTGCATGAAAATAAAATGTTTTGCCATATTTCATGAACATCTATCGTTCATTCAAGTTTCCACTGGAAGCAATTTAAAGAGTGGCCGATGGGAAAACAAAGGTACATTGTAGAGACCCTTTGTGAAAACTGCTGGTTCAGGGCATGCTTCTCCTCGCCATGTGGGTCGTGGGCATTATTCGACCATTCTTCACCACGCTGCCCAGTGTGGGGTGGTGAAGGTGTTGGAGCATCGACATGGGAGCAAGGAAGAATAGGGTGGCCATGACTATTAACTGCACTGCCCTCTGCTGCCCACAACTCAGCACAACCCAAAAGACACATATAACAATCTGGTGTGCCCAAGGGTCACCAATCCGTGCACTATCCAGGCTTCGCTTCTCAGATCTCCACGAGATCGGGTGCATTCCAGGTGATTTCATTCGGCGCACATGACGAATCGGCGTTCTCTGCGAGTCTGAGGCACCTCACCTGGTGAAGAGGTAGATTGCGTAGACCATGGAGGACAAGCTCTGGACAAGCTGGGTAACCTCGCCACCACCGTCGCGGCTGCTCAGCTTCTCTGTCTCCGCGTCGACGTCTGCCGTGAGAAGACGCAGCTCGAGCCCCAGCTTGGCGATCTTTACTTGCTCCTGCATGCGCACAGATGTTTGGAGGTGGAAAATCGAAATCCGTGTTACCACTGCCTAAGGTTTTCGCGGTTGTGCTAATACAGCACTCACTTGTGTTTAGGGCTGTACCGTCCGTTGCTTGGCGTGTTCAACATTTCACTCCACGTGCCGGGAGCTCCTTCAGGAACTGAATAATAACCCTGCCTAGCTTCTGTGTTGACGTTATTGGGAAGATTTAGGGTGATTTGGTTAAATGCAGTTCCTGTAGATGATCCCAGTATGCAGTGAAACGTTGCCCAGTATGCCACGTAAGACACGGTACACAACCTGATACCCACATTGCCTGTTGTGAATTATCAAGCCTGCGACCAAATTGCCTTAATGTTGTTGGATTCCAGAAGCTAAGCAGGTTTTGAGCCTGATGATTACTTGGATGGGTGACCACCAAGGCCTTCCAGGTGTTGTAGACCTAAGGCTGAAAGGTGACTGACAGATGACAATGTTGAGTGTTTCGTCATTGTATGTATGGGTTTTTTTTTTCTGTATACATTACTCCGGTATCTCCCCACATGCCAAACATTCCTGTGCAGGATCTTCCTGAAGTAATAGCCTTGAGCGTTCCCTGGTTAAATAATATAATTGCTATAATATGGTAATGAGGATGACCATGATAACTCTTCCACGTGTCTGCAAAGTTGTTGAACTATAGAGTGAGCCGAAAGTCCTCATTTGTACATGTGCTCCAACCGCCCCCTGGAAGGAGACTTCCGAGGCCACAGATTCCTTTTCTACTGGCCCCTGGCGAAATTTGTAAAAAAAAAACCCAATAAAGATGAATTGATATCCTTTGGAGCGCACTCAGATAACCGTGCCTCTTTTTCAAGGGAGAAATTAGTAAATGCGTGGAAAACCAATTTCATAACAGCATCCATTGGGATGGTTGTCTTTAGTATCTAGATGACTGCACTTTTTTAATATAGGGAATTCAGTGTCATTTCAGTCTGTGCAGAGGGAAAATAACGTCACAGAAAGGTTAGGGCAAAAACAGCTGTCTGCAGTTGAAGAAAACATTGGACTCATGCCAGAAGGCCAAACTCCAAACTGCTTTCATCCAAATGTCAGCATTTTTGTATGAACAAAAAGTGTGATAGGAAAAAAAATCTATCATGCGAGTGTCTAACTCCTACTGTGAACTCTGCTATAAACGTTATATAATTGTTGTTGTTTGCGTTCATATACGTCAATGCCTGCAAACAATTACCTAACCTTGCGGAGGTGCCGTGGGAATATTTAAATACGCACAAAGCAGGTAAGCCGGCAGGCACACTATCGCGCTTCGACATGATACCATTTGGCTTGCAGACACTCTTTCCAATGTGAGCAAGCTACGGTACTTTGCAAACCAGCCAACGCCATCCCCCCCTTCTCCACCTTGATCACTCTAACGGAATAAAACGACACGCAGACGCACCTGCTGGCGTTATTCCTCACTAATCTACCCGTGAAAATCGCTTACAATGTAACTGGACAAGCAAATTACTAGAAGCAGGATGGGATTTGTGCTGCAAGCATGTGACGGGAGATATGATGTCGAGCACTGTGCCAGGAGCATCTGCTCGTTGCCAGAACCCAGCAGCTGGTGGGTCTTGGTGTTCAGTTTTCCACTTTTTTCTGCACAAGTTTGTGTGTCCATTACACACAACGTGCCGTGTATTCTGTCGCAGTATAACGCGCGGGAATTGTTACATAATGGTGTCATTTACTCGGTGTTTTGAAACGACGTATGTAACCCTACAGTGTCCCGACAAAAAGCAACAGCGACAAACATGAACATGCTGGTATCTAGTATTCCATGCATGTACGGTCACAATTCTGCAAACCTATGATAACATTCTCTCAATTGTAAACGATATTCATTTGAGAATAGGTTTTCCCCTTTTTTCTGGCAACAAAACAGGTGTTAAGATATTAAAACACCAAACTGAGACCTTTTACAAGGAATCCTGTCTGCATTAACCACGATACTTGTGGTCAGAATGCAAACAAAAAACATACTCTGATAATATATGCATTGTCATTGAAACTGATTGGTCCACACCAGAGACAGCTTTCTTTCGAGCCTAGTCTCAAACGGTGTTTAGAGACACTAAAAGGCTTTTTGGCGTCCTCTGGTCTAACACCGTTTGAGACGAGGCTCAAACGGTGTTAGATATAAACTAAACATTTTTTTATTTTACCAGGTAAAGCCCACTGAGCTATATAGCTATTTTTAAATCCTTTATATTAAGTTCACTTGCTTGCTTGCTTGCGCGCTTACGACCGTGCAAATCTTTCGGTCGTTTTTTAACCCACTTCCCGTGATCCAATCGAGCTGACATTTTGCACACAGACTCGTTGTGCGTGACAATTTATTTTCGTGAAAATTTTTTTCCAAAATTTTCCACTTTTTAGGGGAAAAAAAATTTCATATTTAATTTAAAATACCAATGTGATAAAAATGAAACTCTTACTCAAGAAAAACAGAAATGAATAATAAAATAAAACCGATGCCACGCATATAAAGGATTTATAGTGAAAAACTTTGTTTTTACGGGTTAATTTTTTCAGAAGCTACCTGGCCACAAATGATAGGGAAACAAAGTGGCTCATGTGAAAATGTATCGCAGCCAAATACTCTAAACACATGAATCGAAATGTGGAAGAAAAAACCAGAGGACCCGGAGAAAAATCCACGCGATCAAGGGGAGAACACTTAAACTCCAAATATACAGGCGTCAGGGTCGGGATCGAACCCACAACCTCCTGCATACCAGGTGAGGTAGTTAACATCTCGCCACTGCGGCACCCCTCCCTGTACACTAATTTTTCTTGTCATCATCCCTTTTGGCAAGCCCACTTTACTAACAGTTTGAATTACAACATTAACTTGTGTCTTTAAATGTAATTCCAGGCATTCAACCCTCACCACGCTTACGTGGACTATTCAGTATTTGTATTTAAAAAAAATATGTGCAGCATTTCATTTTCAAAGTACGAGTAAAAATACCTCTGCATCCAGCTTCACTGGCTTGACTGGCTTGAGGTTTGAGCTGTGTTTCTAGAATCAGACACGTAAAGATGTCAGCACTTCAAAAGAGGTCTCTCATTTCGTTGTGACAGTGAGGTCGTAGTGTCAGGGGTCAGGGCAGGGGTCGGCAAACTGCGGCTCCGGAGCCTGATGCGACTTTTTAAGGACCGCTTTGTGATGCTATTTATTAAGGAACCACCATCTCGTATTCACATTGCGTTGTGGTCCTTGATACAATTTTGTATTTTTTTACCGAATAAAAAAAAGGCTCTTTTTTGTTATTTTGGTTGCAGACCCCTGGGTTACGGGAACTGTGACAAATTCAACATCTATCACAAAGCCCTAAACAATAACACATTATAAGCAGAGTCACGTCAAAAAAGTCAGAGTATTTCCCCATCAAATGTGCATTAGATATTGCTCATCCCCAAATATGGCCCAGAACCAGTCATGGATATTCCACACTCCTATGGTGGGCACCAGTCGCACCATAGGACAAACACTATTGAATTCCCACACAAAGTTACCACAGAGGAATGAAGGGCTGAGTCCACCCTGCAACTGGGATGTGCACTCGCAACCATCTTGTATTGGGATCATGTGCTGTACAATCAGCTGATTCTGGCCTACTCATCATTCCATAGACAAGACCGTTCTATGGGAGACAGAGCCTTCTGCAGCCATATTGTGGAATACCCTGCCTTGGCCCATTAGAAATCACAACTCACATACTTGTACAGGCATTCCTTGTAACTTAAATGTAAAAACCACTGTTGTTGTCTGATTGGATTACTCTGTAATTATTATTCGCTTTTATCATAGTTCTTAATTTTATTGGAATTTCGAGAGTAGTCATTGATATTACCAACTTTTGATTTCACTTAGATTGTATCTATACTTGTGAGTGTAGTTTTACTTTTATGTATAGCGCTTTGAGAAACTTCAATATGAAAGGCGCTTTATAAAATAGAGGTTATTATTACGATGCCATTACAATACAATTTGGTTTCATATATATAAATAAAACTGTATCTCAAGATGCCACACAGGACAGTCGTGGAACATGGACATTGTTAGGTTATTTTATATAGAGTATGAGACAGTCAAAGGAAGAGGAAAAGCAGAAAGTCTTGTGCCTGAACTTGAACAGGTTCAGGGAATGGACAGCACGTACGACTGAGGAAAGAGAATTCCAGATGATGGGGCAGCAGAGCAGAAAGGGTGACTTCTCACGGAGTGAATGTTGAGGTAGGGGAGTGCGTGGAGGGTAGTAGAGCGAGGTAACAGAGTAGAGCTAGGCAGGGGCACTGTGGGTCCAGCCAGAGTGCCATCTGGCTTTTGAGAAATAAGTCTCCAATTCAGCAACAGGTCAGCGAAGAATCGCTTCATGAGAGGAATGAGGGGGGCGGCGTGAGTATAGCAGTAAACGCGTGACAGAGAGTGCGAGTAATGAGCTAATGACGCCAGCGACATGTCATGTGAACATTGCTCGGGGTCTTGTGCGCTCAGATGTGGAATTGCTCAACATTTCAATTTTAACGAAGCATAATAAAAACTAACGCAGAAGCAAGAAGGCAGCAAAGAAATACTGCAGTGTATATTTTTCTTATGGATTGGTTATTCACAATGGAATCAAATGTATGGAATTGCACAGGTGAAGCGGAAGGACGAGTGAAAGAAAAACATAAAACAACAAAACTCACCCCTGGCCGCGGCAGTGACAGGTATGTGCGTTTGTCACCTGAAGGAAATAAACACTCATTAGATTTCAAGTTAAACGTTGCAGGGAGATTCGCGTAGTCTAATTAAGCAATCACTTTCACAAAGCAGACCATTTCATATAAATCATAAATCTATTAAATGAGCATGCATAACAATACAACAGCATGTCCATGTGCAAATGTGCCATAAAATATGGTAAAATGTAAACACAGTAGTATTTCCAGTACACTTGTTAAATTACGTAAAGCAGCTAGGTGCTAATTTCTTTGCCATGTAACATTACACAGCTGGGCGATGCCCACTTAAGCAAGGAAAATTGCTCTGATATTTTCTCCAAATTGTGAAACAATGGATGTTTTCATCCCCCCCCCCCCCCACCGCATTAGAATACAAATGTAAGGCACTACACATAATCATGAACGTGCCACTAAAAGGCTAAGCTGAGTGCACATTCATTTGAACAGAAAATGTTGTTGAATGTCAGGGTATCCAATTTACAGGTTAATGTACGCAAAAAAAGTATTTTGAATGCACATTTTGTAGCAGTATGGTGTGAACTCTCTTTAACCATACGCCTCATTGTCTTTGTATGTGCAAAAAAGACAAATACCCCCCCCCCGCCCCCCCCGTACAACCTTAACAGACTGTTGGGACAAGTGCTGTTTGCCAGCACCTTTTATATGTGCTCCGTCTCTTAAGACAGGCCACCATCTCCTTCTAGAACGCTCCCACTGCGCTCGGATGGACACCTGCACGAGTCGGGATGCCCTGCTTCCGTTTGGATATTTCAAAAGCGGGTAACGAGGGGCCGGGAACGAGACGTGCATGGTGACACGGCTCGTACAGTGAGGCAATTACGGCCAGGGATCTCCAGTTCTGAAGGCGGCAGTGGCGGCGGCGGGCGCCACCGATCAATATGCCGATGACGACGATAGCGGGCCGCGTTAGGAAAAGGGCCCGATAATGAATGCGGAAATTTGCGGATGATAAAGGAGCATCCTTTATTCTTCGCGCAAACCTTCCAGCGATGAATGCCACCACGGCGCAATGGGGCTTATATCAAATAGTTAATTATGAGCTATGTGAAACTGGTGCGTATCATGGCATCGGCCTCCAATGTCCTCAAGGATGCATTTGTGTAATTTTTATAGCAGTGTTTTTTTCATCTGAAATATTTGCCCATGAGGATAATCAGATTTCTTTTGATAATTGTTTTTATTTTGGGTGGGTGGAGGGTGAACACTCACTGGAGAGAGAAGTGACTGCGGATGCATCGAAAACAACTGGCTCAGCTGATAGCTTCACTAAAAGATTAAAACACCACGACACTGGATGTTTCACTAACTGTGCAGTTCCGTGTCCCTGTGATGCTAGACGAGTTTTAGTGTCAAGCTGGCTGCCAGATGCAATGGAGAACAGTGCAAAAAAATCACCAAGCAGGGCATGATACGTCAATCATGTGCCATTACACCGATTGTGAAAGCACCAGCTTGGTTTAATGTGCACTGTGGGCTCTTCGGTCTGCTTCACTCAAGAGCATTTAATAGGAATTGAAGCATCTGGTACTTTCACAAAGTCGTACCACTTAAAAGCAGAAGCACCACGGTCATACCACTTAAATAATGCCACTTTGCACAACTTAATTGAAAGGCAGTTCTCCTGCATGTCCTCTGTTGATGATCTAAAAATATATATATGTATTGTATATGTAATACATACATATGCAGTACATTGGAACTTGTGTTCATATCAAATCATGAAACAGAATACAATGCCATGTTTACAATTTTGTGTTGAAACCATCTTTAACGTCTTGAAAATAAACTGTATTCAATGCTCGTGTGTGATATGCACACGCGATCCGTACGGCCCAACTGTTTACTCCCAAGCGAGGTTCTACAAGGCTAGAGTGACAGCCTCTGAAAAGGCACGCACACAAACAGCCCTGAGCCGTGGTGTCAGGCGGTCAACAGGATAAGGTCATTTGTGATGGAGGCCCTTGGGTCAGGAGTGAGTGCCGTGGCATCTATTTGGATTCCCACCGTCTTATCAAGCGGATCGACACAAGGTGACAATGACACTAAAGGAAGAGACAAGACATTGCGATGCAGTCAGTGGGGGGGTCCAACAGCTGGGACACAGCCCAAGGAACAACGACTGCAGAGGAAATTCCCAGTCCTTCAAACTTGTTTCCAAACGCCCCTTGGGCAAGTCATGTCATCTTCAAATGTTAATAGCCAATGCTTGCAGCGCTAACCCAACGCATAAGTAAACACAATGACTCTACAGTACCGTTATTTTATATAAATAGCATTATATAATTCATTACTATGCCGTGTACTTTCCAATGCGTACAAATTATATTTACTTCATATCTCAACAATAGACGGTTATTGATGAAGGGTACACATACAAATTATTGAATAAAAATCATCCATAAAGACCATTTACCCAGGAATTCCTCATTAAGGTGTTTAGTAACATCTGTTTCAGTAGTGTTGGAAGATTGGTAGCCTGCGTTAATGATATTAATAGTATTTAAAAGTCACATTACTTATTGTGTAGTATTTTAAAATGTAGAAATTAATGTTGGAGACCTCTGCTGTAGTTGCGTGAGTCTGTACGGTAATGGAAGTGAAGTCGGGTTGTGGATCTCAGAGGACAGTTCCAATGCTGAGCTGCTAAATTGTCTCTTGCATTTATGGCATTTCCCAGGACAACATACATAACCCATAACAGGACATCAATTGCTCTGTCCAAGATACTAACCACCATTTTTGTCAGCTATTCATCACAATCACTTAAAACTGTGCGGTGAGTGGTAAGTGCGTGGTAAGTGCTCGCATTTCAGGTTTTATTGTCATTTCAAAATGTTTATAATGAAAGTACAGAAGAGGGTATGGAGTCATTTATTTAAAAAAAATTTAAAGCAAACAAAACAACAAATCTGAAATATTGACTTACTTTTCAGTCTTGCTTTCATTAAATGTCACATTAACAAGTCATTAACAGAAAATGCTGTTAAAATATATCGTTGCCAGAGCTCGGAAGTTCTTAAAATTCCAAGCCGGGAATTATAACTTATAAACTGTCTGGCCTCGTAGAATTGTCATTGAAACACATGGCCTCTGTAAATAACATGTTTCAATGGCGATTCTGATCGATACGCATGTTGAACTTCTTTCAGGCGTACATAGCCAACCATGCTTATCAGCTATTCAGAATCGTCAGGATTGCCATTGAAACGTATGGCTGATGCCCATTCCAGTGTGGTATTCAGGCAAGATGGGAGGGCTCATGGGGCCTGGACAGCCTAGCATCTTGTGTGGCGCGACATCCGCCAATTCGCTCCACGTACTGGAAGTGTCTGTAGGAAACTTCAGGAAACTGCCAGCAAATACAGCAAAATGTCGAACATCATGCTGAACAACACAACGTGGTACAATACAAAAAACACGTCAGAAATGTGAACAGCACAACCGGGAGACCCTACACAGTGGTAATGGATAGGGCAGATGTTGGTCTCACCTCTCCGTCCCTCAAATACATCTGTGATCTCTTTGATGAGGACTGCCAAGTCAGTCAGCTGAGATTCCCAGGACTCGCAGAAAACGTCCAGGTTCTCCCGTGCGATCTTACTGGATGGATGGAGAGCCAGCGTCTGTGCGGCTGAGATGATCTACAAAAACGAAACATCCAAAAATTAGAATTCGAGGCAGATGTCTTGAGCGGCTGTAAACGACGGTATCCTTATGGCACCAAACACAGCAGCGAGATGGTTGCATCACGAGTGATTGCAAGGAAGGAGTTATAGGCCGAGAAAGATGAGGGAATTTTTTCCCATTTTAATGTTGAAGTGATACATATCTTAGCTCTGTTCGTCTAACTGTGCATCTGTCTGTTCATACACACACGATACAAATTTACAAAACGTTAGTGTTGTTGCCCAAAACTCTGGAAGGCATGGGGAGGCAGTCAGCAGACGGCAGTTGGTCACGCACAGCGTATTCACGAGCACGGTGAACTCTTATTGCTTTGCATCCGCCTGCAGGGCCCACCGGCATGGCACTACCTCATTGTGCTGCACAAAAAGCAAGGTCTACCACGCTTGAGCGTCTCACTGCGACATAAATGCAAGTAAATGGTTATATTGGAACTGAAATAAAACGGCAACGAGGAAGGGAATTATGGGAATCGATGTGAGGTAAAGAGAATGCAAGTTGAGTAAAAAAACTATCGTTATTTACTGGTGATCTTTTTAAGTACAGAGACACGTACCAACAATCTCACCAAGTACAACACTTGCCTCTCTCTATATGTGTACATACCTTGCACAAATGTTTTTTTAAAGCAGTTTAATAAGAAGAATTTGGACTACATGAAGCATCTCTAGATGCCGTACAAGAAAACACTATATCCACTGATATAGACGAGACATCAACTATTATAAAAAAAACACAGCCACGGTGACCGGGCACATATAACAGTGAAATATGCTATGGAAATATTCTTACAATTGGATACATTATTAAAACCAAACGCGCCAGTCGGCAGGACGTATAAATCCGATCCTATGAGCATAAAGCTATTTCCCAAATAGCCACGATTGCTCACAGCCATACGACCATCCCGATTAGTCTAAAACGGCCGTACAATTCAATCAGAGTCTGGACTTTGATATGACATTATTACATTTACAATATCGTTACAATGGCTTCACATTGCTACGTATCGTTCCATTCACGATTTGACAAATATTGGCAGAAAATAACGCGTAAAACGACCTAGTGCTGTAGTCGATAGATGCGGTAGATATAAACTCTGCTGACCTTGGTTCATACAAAGCCAATTCCACATTAAGTAGGTCGAGGGTTACAAAGGTCCATGCTGTTGTAGAATTTAATTTACAGCGAGAAGTGAGGAAAGTGCAAAGGGTAAAATGTACCTTTAACGTACACACACGGGAACACGCATACACCCTGTTACAACAACTAAGGCAGTTTTTTTTAAAAAGTATTTACTGGTTACGGTAGAAGCAACTGCATGTCCTTCAACCTTACTAAGGAGACAGGAGCCTCCTTGTGCGGGAGACAGCACATCACGGGTAAAACAGCAAAGATTACTTTCACATACACATACAACCATACACACTGTCAAGAACAAACATGCATGTACGAGCATGTCTTGGAGGCAAACACATGTGCAGTGTTTACACGTGCGACTGCACACACATAAAAAATTTCCAAAATGCGAGATCAAAATCCAAACAATCCAATTTCTTCACGAGGAAAAAACTGATTTGAGAAGATGGAAGCGGGTGCACATGAAATATGCAACAGTGCATGCATCATTCTGAGCACACACTTTCAATAAGCAATACATGTTTGCTTTGTAGTATAATGCACAACATGATACGAATACATATCGAGAACACATCAACCGCAGTCATTGAACAATGGAATGCATTGGAGTGATGCCGGTCACTCTGGGGCAAAATGCAAGATGGGTCTCTGTTGGTTTTAAGCACAACAGGCAGCTAAGAGCTCAACAGCGGAACTCAATATATGAAGGAACCTCTGTATCCTATACAGACTTGTGGCAGAGGGATAGAATATACGAACATTTTATGGATGAAAAAATGTGATCAGGTTTTTGTTTTATTCATGCATATTTGCTCACCATTGTCATTGCTGGATATACTTAACATGAAGCTTTACAAAAATAATTAAGGTGGCACGGTGGTTGGAACTCTCCAAAACGCAATCAGAAGGTTGTGAGTTCAAATCCTGTCTGGGGTTGACCCGTCAAATATCGAGGGTCAATGAAATGAGAGTATAATTTTGATGAAAACAACGCAACTACTCACACCTTGATTCCTGACTAACGTTGTTCCCGATTAATGTTTCTGCCTGGAGTATTACAACTATTTCAATAGCTTGCCAAACAGCGATATCTTCTTTATATTACAGCTAATAAGGCAATACAATCCGGTGACCTGTCAATCATTGGAAAAGTAAAAAAAAGGGCAATAAATATTCCTGGAAATTGAGAAAAAATATATATTTCTCTTGTTATGAGATTTCCCACGTACAACAATTAGCTCGTAAGATGTTGTGGATGAGTGTGCATTATCACTTATTTCCACTGTTTCACTCATCTGGATCTGTGAGCTGACGGCTTTCAGGCTATGAAAATTGACCGTTTGATATCCCGCCACAGTAAATCAAGCAGCCCAGTGGTGATTCAGCATGGAGGCTGCATGGCAAGGCTCTTCATAATACCTGTGAGCCTCACCTTGAGCAGAAAACAGAAGTAAGTCTGTGAAATTGACAAGTACACACACGTGTGGCTGCCATTCCACCTGTTACAAATAGAGTGTAATATCACAAACCGCACATGGGAGAGAACACAATAAGCCCGTCTTGTGCTGGCTGATCTCCCAGAGCTCTAGGGCAAAAACACTCCCTTCGATTTTGCTTACAGCTGCCTCCATTCTATCAACTGCGTAAACATTGCCCACATGCAGAGAAGTAATTCATTTCAATGGTGGACTTGTCCAGGAACGCAACATGCTGGTCAAACCTAGGCGTTCATTTTGTTGGGATTGATCTTAATTCATACCTGTGGCCCGATGGCACGGAAGGTGTTCTCGGCATGTGCACACGTGATCTCCAGTGGCTCCGTGCCAGACACATGCCTTAGAAGTTGTGATGTCTGAAAGATGGATGGGAATTTGAAAAACGCAAGGCAAGGATTATAAGTTGTTATGCACAACGCACATAACCCAAAAGCAATTAGACAAATTATTTTGCATTTGCATGCACGGTTAAAAAACATTGTTGCAGCTTTAAATATCATAATTAACATGTCATTGATGTGCAATATGCAGAGTACAAAAATGTGGTTCCTTACTGACTGAATGAAGCTCTCTATGAATGGCGCATTAATGTATATATCAGGGATGTGAGAAGGAATGCATGGCTTAGTCAGCTTTAATTATTTAACTAGAGAATTAATGAGCGCATGTTGGGTGTCCGTGAGTGCATGCGGGAATGCGTGGGTACGAGTGTATGGAGCATAACGAGCCAGTTGACCCAAGTGAGCCCGTGTGTGCATGTGTATGTGTGTACAGGGGCAACCACCAGGCATAAGAGAGCAAACACGCGATGCCCTGCTGGTGCAGGTGGGTGAACGAGCGTATGCATGCCATGCTCAAACCTCCAAGAGCTGCTCTCGCAGCTCATGCAACCGAGCCGCAAACTCTGACGTCAGCTCCAGGTTTCCATCGGCGCCAGCCGTCTTGAGGGCTCGGAGCAGTGCGTGATCACCGTTTGCACGGAGACTCTCAGCGGCCACTTCAACGGCTGTCACGTGCAGCTAGGAGGTGGCGAGAGAGTAACAAAACTATCAATGCTGTGACAATCACAACCAACCGACTAGCAATCAAATGTAATGAATGTACGAGACCACGTGCATTAATGTGCCAATGGCATCGTGGCATCTACTTAAGGACCTGGATCAGGAAGGGCTTTGATTCGGGGTCAGACCTCCTGTTAACAATCTGAGGATGCCAGGTGTAGTCTCCAGCGGAACGTCGCACTCATTTAAAGGTTGTGAGATGTGAGATAACTCTCCAACAACACCACCAATGGTGCTGCTGAAGCAGTCATAAATTTGGCCACATTCGATTCACCTAACGCTATATTAATTGGCTGTGTCGGGTTGAAGAGGGTTTACGACATACATTTTTTTTCCACCACCTAACCCAAAAAAAACCATTTTATCCATATACTCCAACAACGGGAGCTGTTCATCTCTGGCGATGGTCTTAAGCCAGTGGTAGAAATTCCACATTCTCATGACAGGGATTCGGCTCTATACAGGTAAACCACTGTTGATTTCCTACAAAGCTGTGTCGATTTTATCAAAACTAAGGGATGATGAACTGAGTCGACCACCACGAATATTTTTAATCACTCTGCTGCAACATTACCCGGGCCGATCAAACACAGGTTAAAAAGTGTCTAAATTCTCAAATGCGCATTCCACATTGCTCAGTTATGACTGCATGTTGGCGCTTAGTCTGTTTGATGACAAAACTAATTTCACAAATATTACAAAACTTTGTAGGGTTGTTGGTGGGAAAATGAAGATGTGTCAAGAGTGGACATGCATTCACACATACAAAGAGGATATGACTGGCAGTGAATGGTCATAATGCAGGGTTGCGGTGACGTGAAGTCATTATGTGGTGACCTATAATTTCCATGTCGTTCGACATAGATTTGTGACACACCTTTGTGCCACTATGTGTCATGAGCTCTTCCACCAGAGACAACCGGGTAGTGATACAGGACTGTGTGCAGGGGCGCCCGTCACAAACCCTACCCCCATCAAACAAAAGCATCGCATTGCCACTGCAAGCAAAATACTCGTTATATTTTCTGGAAATTCGATACTGCAATGTAAAATCTGTAAACTCTGTATATGTATCATCCATTTATTTATTTATTTTTGCGACTTTTATGTTCCATCAAAGGACCATCTTTGACATTTAACAAATACAGCAGTTTAAGAGTACAGATCCCAAAAAACGCATGCGAATTTTACGGAGTGAAAAAAAATGTCTCCGAGTAAAATGCTTAAACGAATGCTCCTTCAGCGGGATGATCGACGCCTGCGGAGTTTCTCACCTCCTTCCTTATTTCATCCATGCACTGGGAGGTCCTGGATATGGCCGCATCCAGCTCCTCTCTCCCATTAGGGCCCCTGCACTGCTTCAGACACAACGTCACATCACGAAAGAGCCCTATGCAACACGGGCAAAAATACATTCCGCGTAACGCATTTAATTCACCTGCTAGTTAAATAGACCAAAACGCAACGCGACAATACCTAAAGGCAGAGACACACACGCACTCACGTTTGGCTTCGTAATGAACAAATAAGCATGCAATGTCACACTCGTCTGGAAGATCGCCACCCACTGTCGTGGCATATAAATTATGCAGAAGCAACAGGACACTTGGTTTGGTCAATAAGCTATAAATGCTAAATCCTGAATGAGCAGTGACAATCATCAAATTCGCGAACATGACAGAGCACACCGCTAGCGAGCTGTGTAAGTTACTGGGATCTTTGATAATCTACTGGGAAGGAAAATATCAATGGAGGTGCAGCAATATTTACATTTCTCGACCGAAAAATATTTTAATTCTCCAGTCACGTGTGAATGATAACACCGACGTCTTTTTATTGATAGACGTGAGGCGAAACCTAAACCTGTCATAAATAAATCCCCTAACCTTTTCGTAATGCGCCAATAACATTAGCATGTAGCACATGTCACGATCAATTTAAATAATTATGTCATTGCTCATTTGCATTGCTCTTCTGTCACATGGCTCCACTCCTCGAGAAATTACAATTCCGTGAATTATACGGTCTGTTGATTTAAGGAAGAACAACTATTGGAATTGTGGTATCTTTGTGTCGACTTTTTAAAACCGCAAAAACATGTGCACTGGCTGCAAGCCAGCCTCTGATGCAGAATCCAGTGGTAAACCACTCACTACTTCATGCCACGATAGGCAGTCTAAAACCACAGCAATGCCACAAAATAAACCCCTGACGAGAACACTCACAAATGTATCCAATAAAAACACCCCCGAGCCCATAAAAATAAAGAATGACAAACATGCAGAATGCGCATCTGTCACGCATTACTTTAAATAAAAGAAAGATTCACTTTTTGCCACATGTCCCTATAAAACAAATAAATAGATTTTAAAAATCTGTTAATGTAGTAAACATATCTCCAAAGCAGGATATAGCAGACTCCCAGCCCTCGGCTATATTGCATTTTCTCCGTATCAAGCGACATCACACAGCAATAACAGAGCTGTGCCGCATCGGCTGCTTGAGCAGGCATAAGCTTTATTGCGCGAGCTGTGGGCATGCATTATACTTGGCAGCTGCACAGGCAGGGATAAAATCAGGGTCTGTGAGCGTTCCTCAGCAAAACGAGGCCGGCATCTCAAGGCAATTTTTCATTTTTATATTTTTTCTACAAAAGGACCAGCGATCATTACAAATAAGCCTCTATTTGTTTTGTCTCCTTTGAGGCAGAATACAGTAGACACTGATAAGTACGTGGATAAATGGGCCTTTGTATGTGAACACTGAAGGTTGTGAGTTCATCAATGGGTTTATTTAATAAATGTAACGCTATTTATTTGGAAATCATTACATGTTGTGGACAAAGCCGAATTCAGAAATTCGTGAGTAATAATAGTTTTCTGAAAATTTGATTTGATTGGATAAATGAATACGTAAACATATTTTAGGTTATTAACCATTTTCAGAATTGCTGATGACACCGTCAATTTAGCAACCAATAGAAATCAACTACAGGAAATTATTTAAGAATCCTACACAAAACAGCCTGCAAAGTTGGGCTAAAGATTAAATGAGCAAAAAACTGGAGAAAACATTCAAAGACATATTGCTGATGGTGGACCAGGAGTAAAATAATGAAACAAAAAGATAGCCGAGAGCAGGTTAGGGTACTTTTAGAAAAACTTAAATTGATAATGAAAAGCAACATAGCAATATCCCGAAAGAACATTTTCAACATCTGCATATTACTGTATACGAAGCTGCTATATATGAAGCAGAAATATGAAAAACAACACGGACATGCAACAAAAACTGAATTGTGCACGCAGAAGCAGTGAGAGCCACGTGCTTGGAATGACTGAGGGACAGACAGAGGAACACGTATCAGAGAACAAATCCAAATTATGGACAATAAAGTGGGCTCGGGCACAGCGATGGAGATGATTGATGAGATCAGCTCTTGTGCGTGGCACGGATGAATTATTGCAGAGTGAGACAGTGAGGGATGCTGATGGCTTCATCCAGCGGTAGATGGAGCATGGCTAATAATTGTTATAATAGTTTAAAATAATGTTTAGGTGTTGTTGCCATACAATTTTTTAAGTAAACCAAACAGTTTTTTTTTATTTTACCAGGGAAGGCCCACTGAGCTATATAGCTCTTTTTCAGAAGCAAAATGGCCATAATGATAGCCCAATGAAGTGACTTATCACGTGGAACTTTAAGCAGCCAAATACCCTAAACCATGTTGATTCTAAATGTGGGAGGGGGGGGGGGGAACCAGAGGATCCAAAGAAAACTCCACGCGACCACGGGGAGAACATGTAAACTTCAAATATACATACGTCAGGGTAGGGATCAAACCCACGATCTCCTGTATACCAGGCAAGGGAAGTTAACATCTCGCCAGCGCAGTGCCCCATAATTTGTACACCCTCCTCGAGTAACTGTAATAGCCCCCTAACCTATGAAGTATATCGATCTCTGAGATGACTCAAAATTACGACTGACACTGAAATATTGTACGTTACCTTACACTTCATCAGTGTTGGACTTAAACTACTTTACTATCATGTCTGTCATTATCAGGATTATCAGTGGTGCCAGTAAAGCATGACACTTGCGGGACAGAAGAGATGTGGAACAAGCAGGCATGTTGAAAACAACTAGAATCGCACGCATCACCAGTGGAATAGAAAAGCGAGTGCATTTAACACAGTCGGATTTTGCTGGGAAAAAAACTAAAGACTTAATCTACAGGATTAGCAACTCCAAACCCCTGAGTCCTGCATCTGATTGAGTGACTATACCTGCAAATTGTTTACAGAGACTTACAAGATAAACATAGCTCGTATTATTTTCACGTTCCATGTGTTTTCTTAGCACATTGTCCGTGGCCATGTGATGAATAACGTTGTAAATTCCAATACATTTTACCCACAGACATTAAGAGCAGTCTGGGGATTGGTCCAGCACATACCGCATTGGAAACGGTAAAAATCATCCCACAGGGTCTCACATTTCGCTGCCAGGAGTATAATGTACCGCGGCTCCCATTCAGTGCCATAACTGCAGCAACGTCCCTGCCATCAGAATGCATAGCACATCGCAAGTGATCTCCGTGAAGGCAAGATCTGTGTGTGCATATGGCTTTTTTTTCTTCCTAAAGCGTCACGGTGACTAAGCAGGCAATATCATCAGCCAGCGGGCCATGTGGGGGCGCCACAGGGTCAAGGGTCGGCTCACTTGCTTGGCGAAGAGCGACAGCATTGCGAACGTCTCCTGTTGAGCCTGCGCCACCATCTGCAGGATGCGCTCGCGCCGCTCATGGCTGGTGTATGGCGAGTCCGTGAAGTCCTCCGTCTGCTCCACGATGAGCTGCAGCAGGGGAGTCACATCGTCGGCACAGCCAGCCTCGTGTAGGAAAGCCTGGAGGGCCATCGGGGTAGGAAAGAGGAAGGGCAGACAGTGTGGGTTGTGGCCACGAGAATCGAGGCTCAGCCCAGCCACCAATGGCTGCACAATACGAAAAACCATCATGTCAAATGAAGTTCTGCGGATAATTTGGAAAAATTTCAGCTGTGAGAATGCATCAGTTGTATTGCCATGTGACAAACATGACTGCTGTATGCAGAGCGGGTGGGCTCTGCCCTCTGATGTGGGGCCAAAAGGTCACTCGGAGAGATCTCAGAGGTAGCTGCGTGATATCTGGTTGCATGGGCAGTTCTCTAACACGAAGAGATGCACTGCTCTGTGTGAGATCCGAATGGATACGTCATCTCAGGGGCCATCCATTTAGTACGTACGCATGGAAGGGGGAGGGGTGGGGTTAACCCAAATATGTACACGCGCTTATGGGGGGTCTACTGACAATGTACGTACGCGTACGCATAGGAAGCGGGGGGGGGGGGGGGTGAAGCCTCGATAATAATGTCTACATTGACCTTCAAATTAGTTAGATAAATCTTGACTTAAAGCTTTCGTAACTGCAGGAATTCATATTCTTTGGGTTTTTCGGTAAAGTCACGCAGATAGGTACAAAGACAATAACAAAAAACTACGATGTTTCGATCGCAACACAAGCAGTCATCATCAGGAAAAGGGGGTAAGCCTCGAAAGGCAAACTGTTTATAAAGGTTTAAAAATTGGCGTAGCCCAAGTGTCAGCAGCATGGGCGGGGTAGCTAATGTTAATGTAAGGGAAGTTGCTGCTAGAGGCGATGGTAGTTGTTGGTAGTGATGATGCTGGTGGTGGGCTTCCACCAATTAAAGGGCTGCCAGATCTAAAATTGAAACATTACAGCCAGTTATGACTTAAACTGGTTGATAACGTCCTTCCAGTGATTGCCGAGTTTGTACCCATCTTCTCGGTTGAAACTGTGTCTATGTCTGTATATATGGATGGCTTCATGGACGAATCTTTGTTGATAGCCAGTGGGTTTGCAAAGTACCTTCGTCTTCGAGAAATCAATTTCGTCCCTATTCAAATACTTCAGTTCTCAACTGCATGCATTTTTTCTGCCTATTTAATTTTACAATTCTTCATTGTTGAAAGACAGTTGGGCAAGTGTGGCCTGGGGTATGATGATCGGAGCCATTCACTCCCACGTCCAGTGTTCCCGAACACGATCCATTTCCATTAAAAGCTCAACAAACCTGCTGTGTGGTTTGAGGATGACGCACAAATAACGAACGGAGCAACGCGAGCCACTCGCTGCGGAACGCCGCAAAGGCGGCTATCGCAAAACCGACCACCCTCACCTTGAAGTCACGAATGGCCGAGTAGATGCACAGGGCCCTGACGCTCGCCTCTCCATTGGCCGCGACGTCCGTGACGATGTCGGCGACCTGCTCCATGGCCGCCCGTGTGCGTGCAAACACGCCATCGCGGTTCGCACGCGCAGACTCGCAGTCGGGGTGCCGCAGGCATGTCTGAGAGGAATGCCCAAAGTGGACAAGAATAGAGCCTTTTTTTTTGCTTAATATAAACTGTTGTTTCATATAAATGTAACATTCTTTTAAAGGGTCAGTGAAAGCTCCCCATTAATACCCGTGGAACCTGTCCGTTCCTTTCCCGTTGAAATGTAACAGAGTGCGTGACTCTGACACGCGCATAAATCAGCACCGTACAGTTTCAAACACTGAATACTTCGTGCAATATTTAAACACCGTGCATGCTGGTACCACATTCCTTCGTGTGTGTATATTTTAAAATTATAAACACATACATACTATTCAGAGAAAATGATATCCAGTGGCTCTCGGTGATAGATTTGTTCCCGCAAAAGAAATGTGGAATTTCCACCGGAGGCTCAGAAATGAGCACGGCTCAACGCAATGTTTCAGGGAGGATTTCTGACTTTTTTCAGCATTTCAAACAGCTAGTCGTGTGTCCGAAGAAGTGCAACTGTGCTCATGTGAGCTCTAAAGCAGGGCTCGCTCACACACCTTGGAGGCCGTGAGCAGCATCATTGTGCATTTCTCCAGAACTGCACGGCCTGCAGCCATGCGAGCCTTCTGCTTCTCATCCTTCAGGTCCTTTGCCCAGAGGATGCAATCGGAGAACACAAAAGCGTCAAAGATTTTACAGATTTCCTTTGTTCACACGAGGATTCCAAACATTCAAAGTGAAAACAGTTTCACCGTGGTTAGCACACTGCACTATGAAACCAGCATCCTGAGTTTGATTCCATGTCATGGCTAACATCAGTGACGAATGATACCTGTACCAGTGCTGGGCCTCCAACTTTACCAACCCACACTGACCATTGTGGTGACGTATGCTCAAACAACCTCCATGACCAACATGGTATGGGGCGGCTTTAATCCAGCGAAGGATTGAGACAGGAAAATATGATTTCACTAGTATCAATATACTATTTATATATATTATAAAATATATTTATATTATTTTATTATTTCCCTTCTACGTGACTTTACCGAAAGAACCAAGAATATCATGAACAGAGTTTATTGTTGAGTTTATCAACAGTACTTGCTTCGATTTCGGATAAATGTTATTTTACATAAAGACTAGAAGTAAGTAACATGTATAAATCTCCATCAAACCCTAAGCACTTACAGGAGTAAAATTACAATATCATTTGGCTGTGGCTTTTAAATGCGACCAAATCTTGAGACACTGTAAAAAATAACTGCGTGGAGTAGAGTGAAATGAGGGTAGAGGTAGGAAGGAGAAAGTCCACAATCAATCTTGTAGATTGAGAGTATGATCATTATATTAACATTGGATTAGATTGGAAGCCATTTGAGTAACAGGAGTACTCGGGGAAGCGGTCAAGTTTACAGGTGTGGATGAGGAGTCTGGCAGGAGAATGTTGGATCATTTGGAGTTCAGAGGTGTTCAACATACATACAGAACAAAATGTGTCATATCTATTTATATATATTTAGAAATGTAAATTCCCAACACCATTCATGTAGCTTTGAATTGTAACATAGAAATGTAAATATTATAGCTTCAATAGTTTGCAATGATATTCTATTTTAATCTCTGAAAAGTAATCCTTAATGAACCCCTTTAACGGAATTAATTCAAGTGTCATATAGATATTAAAATATTAAGATTTGCATTAAAATAATCCTATCATCTGTTTAAAGAGGTTGTAATAATGGAGTAATGAGCGATTTTGTATTAAAGACCTTCTGACATATGCAGTGAATATTTATGGTCTTAGATTCCAGTCATTGATATTCACCACAGGGCCAATTTTAGACACAATTGAAATGTTAATTCTTATACTGACCCCACTGCAGACGGTTACAAAACAATAGATAACTTTAATAGCAATGCTACAGACCCTTCCGCATCGTTTGCCTAATTTAGACATCGGGCAACATCTCCAAGCCCAAACTGCAAAAGTGAAAATTATCAGAAAATAATAAATGTGCAAAATTAATGACAGTGGGTCAAATTTTAGTTTTTTTCAGATTTTCATTGAAAAGGAGTGCATGTGTGTTAATGGGATGAAAGTAAAATTTATTGAAATTAATATGAATTTTACCACGTTATTAGGACAGATTTCCTACGTAGTTTTTTTGTGTGGGAGTATACTGCACACACTGGCACTGTGCTTACGAAATTAAACCCAACCGATTATGAATGAAGACAGTAGATTTTTTTTTCCAGATACTGCATTACATTTTTAAAAATATGATACGTTTTACAACTACTGAAATATAACTGTCAATCTTTTTTTTCTAATTTCACTATTCGGGTTCCTCCATATCCATTTCCCCACTTTTGAAAAATTCATTAAATTACTGCATTTTCACATCTCTGCAAACTCTAATAGATGTTCTCCCTCATTTCTCACTTCAATGCCAAACTTACCAATCACCCTCTCATCTCTACACCCGGTGCATATGATAGCATTCGTCACCCATCATGATGCTGTAATGTGTTTCTCTCCCATTTGGAAGTTAAGTTATGTTCTCCATCCATTTGGTTTACTTCGTCTTAGTGGCTCGATGTTGGAGCATATTTTGAATTACAGTAGAACTTCAAAAATCAATAATGCGCGAGCCCTAAATGTCGTGGCACCCCTGCTGTCCATAGCAACTCCCGTAATCCGTGGGGCCGGTAATCCTGAAATCTGAGAGTTTTCTGTGGATCATAGGCGGCTAATTCCACCTAAACTTTATGAGGCACAGCGATGGGGTGATTTTTGGAGAAAATGTTGCGGCGTGTCGCGGATTAAAGGGTGCACAGCGAGGTCCATCCCATTCACCGCAGGTTATTGGAGTTCTCCTGTATCTTTAACTTGGAGTGGTTCGGAGACAAGTACTGTTAGCTGGGAAACTCTACCTGATGTACTCTTAAAATATACACGCGAAATAAACACATGTTTAGGTAAGGGTTCTCTACCATTCACCACACGCATACTATCAATTAGCATCTGGGTGTGGGAACAAATAGATACCATATGCCTAGCCTTCAAAAGCTATGCAAAGGCATTTGAATTGATGAAGTGACCAGAGCATAAATAAAAAAAATATTTAGAAACACCGAAACTGTACAAAACCACTTAAAATTAACAACCACAGAACCTAAGCACACTCACGTTAGGCTAATTACTTGCACTGCCTATGAAGTATCATCCGTTCATAGGCCAATCGACATCTTGCAAAAGCTTGTACCTGTGAAGAGGCATTTAAAAATGCTGCATGCTCTTTTATCTTTGGATAAAGCAGTTGCTTTTGAGACTGCCACATACTGTACACACCCCGATGTCATATTACTGTGATGTTATCATTCCCCAGAGCTCGTCAAACCCTCTATTGTGTCGAACAAAGATGCCATAAAACCAGCCATCCAGCCCAAGGGCACTTAAAACGCCATTCCAGCGTATTCAGGCACACATTAATCAATATCAGGTCAGCACCCACTCCGTAAAAAATGTACTGTACATAACAAATTCACAGGTGACCCTTGCTTCATAGAGTAAAATGGTGACACACTCTATTTTTGCTTAATTTACCATGTGCTCAGCTGAGTCTTCTTGCTAAAACGGTAACAAATTGGCATTGAAAACAGTCAAAACAATGACCTACGAGGCAAACTGATGCTGTGTACTCCACGTAAGAGATAACTGAACGTGGATTAGAGTTGTGTTACAGTTTACTGTAACTCCTACGTAATTATAAAGAAACAAGCCTTTCCGTTTTCCCGCATTAACTTCAGATAACTTAAATTTTGACTTAAAGCTTGCGTGACTGCAGGAATTCATATTCTTGGGTCTTTCGGTAAAGTCACGGAGATAGGTTCATAGAAAATAATCAAAAATAACAGAAAACTACGACGTTTCGATCGCAACGCAAGCGGTCGTCTTCAGGAAACGGGGGGTTAGCTTCCAAGGGAAACTGTTTGTAAAGGTTTGAAATGGATGTAGCCCAGATGTCAGCAGCCAATAATAATGGAAGTATTCGGCAGCGAGCCCGGCGGTGGTTCGTTTTCCACCAATCAAAGGGCTGCCAGGTGAGAATTAGCATGTTAAAGAGAGATTAGCATGTTAATGTGACCTCGCAGAGCCGCAACCAAGAGGTCGGTGCGCGAAGTGACTGTGAAAGCGCAAGGTTTGAAATGGGCGTAAAGCACAACTAACATCGGAAGGTGGTAGGATGGGAACATCATAGCCAATTATGACTTAAACTGGTTGATAACGTCACTCCACATGCCGCACCCCTCCCCAATAACCATGAGGGGGTGACGTCACTCCACATGCCTGCACCCCTCCCCAATAACCATGAGGGGGTGACGTCACTCCACATGCCGCACCCCTCCACAATAACCATGATGGGTGACGTCACTCCACATGAGGCACCCCCCCCCCCCCCCTCATTAATAATCAAATATTAAAATTTTCTATTGAATATTTCAGATTTACTGCAATATACACCCGTCCTTGGACGGGCAAAAAAGCTAGTAGATATAGAATAACTCACAAACCACTTTCCTCCCTCCTGCCTCACAAGAGTAGGTTCATCTTCTTGGTAGAATGGAAATAATAAAATATTTTTTTTATTATTTCCATAAAATAATTTTTTATTATTTCCATTCTACGTGACTTTACCGAAAGAACCAAGAAGATGAATCCCTGCAGTCACGAAAGCTTTAAATCGAAATTTAAGAGTAGGTTCATTTGCTTCATTCAATGTTTGTATTCGCCCTACGCAGCAGGCAAGCAGGTGGATCCATGATTCAAAAGAGAGATACTATAATTCTCGGAGCACAACACCTCGAACATGTGGCAAGTAGAGCTGCACAAAAGAGTAACGTGTGCGTGGGATTCATATTTACAAACGCTGCACACATTTGTAAGCGATGCATTTTTATTTTTAATCGTTCATCCAAATTGGAGGGAGACATACACACAATGAACATTACAAAAGATAGTCAACGCTTTGACCTTGAATATATTGTTCTTTAATGTGTATCCTATTCCCTTCTTCAGTGCTCTGCCCACGGCCATGTCCATGACTCATGCTCCCTCCATCCTTTCCCTCTCTTTGTATTGCAACCTCCAAAGCAAAAGTCAGGCACACACCGAGGTTGCTCAGCAATAGAAAAAAACAATTGTTGGACATAACTTGAAAACGCAACAGAATATGCGAATCTAAGGTAATTAATAAAGATGGCAAACGATAGAAGAATGCAGTGCTTTTGAAAAACTGAATTTGATCATGAAACCCAACATCACGTGCCCGAAGAAGGAAGGTTTGTTTTGCATATTACCCCCCGGTGGCATAGACAGGGCCAAGAGGGACACTGGAAAAGGGGATTGAACAAATGCAAAAACTTGCACGAAAAAATGCATGCTTGGAATTACACTCAGACACAGGAAAAGGAACACCCAAATCACAGCCTGATAACGATTGTTTAAGGGCGTTTTATACATTTACATTAATATCAAATTGTCTGTTGAGAAAAGTAAATGGGCTTGGGAAGGACGCGTCGTGGCCAGAAGGAATGATGACTGACGTGCATGACCAGCGTCGGAATGGGAGCCAAAGGAGGGAGCCGACTACCATATTCTTAGGTTTTTTCGGTAAAGTCACGTAGGTGATACGGAGTGGTATCTCTTGGAATCTCTCATTTACTTGATACAGCTGTTGGGCTGTGACGGTTCCACCTGAAGACGGAAGCTTGTGTTGCCTCCGAAACGTCGTGATTTTTATTTTATTTTTATTTTATTTTACTTTTATTAATTTTATATGTTTTTACCTACGTGACTTTACCGAAAAAACCTAAGAATATGAATCCTTACAGTCACGAAAGCTTCAAATCTAGAATTAAAGCCGACTACCACTCTGCCACTCTGCAGGTGGTTCCGTGAGGCAGACATGAGATGGATTACGGCATCACGGGGCTGTGAGCGATGGTGGCAGTGTGCGGAGACCTTCGTGCAGCAGTGGATTGACGATGGCGGATCACGACGATGAAACTGCATGTCATAGTTTGTAAGTCAAAATTATTCACAGATGTTTTCATTCAGTTACAGAAAAGCACGTTGCTTTGGAGTTCCAGGCCTTGATCCTGCAATGCTAATGGGATGGCCGTGCCAGACGTGTGTAAACATTAAAAAAAAAATACTTTGACAGGTGCTACTACAGAAGATAAAGTGGCTGCAAGGGATAAATGTACGATTGTAAACATATTAACCTTATGGCAGTATCCCGGGGTACCATAGTACCCCGGCTCTCGCATAATATCCATGATGCAGTCACTTTTAGTCTGTTGATGGTCGGCGATGCGGTAATCGACTCATCTCGACGAGGTGTACACGATGCACCACTACGGTGCGTACGAGCGTTCAGGGTTTCAGCGCAATCGTCCTCGCTGCGTTTCGACATCGCGGAGTAGCACTGATGTCGGATTGATTGCTACCCCAGTCGCGGAGTGAAGTACACCCCTGGAAAAATAGTGTCCCAGAAATACAATATTTAATTGCCTCGGCCATTTCGTATAATTTGGTACTCCAGAGTTCTGCCATAAGGATCACATATTAAAAAAACGGAATGCAAGATACAGAGGAATTTAAAACCTCAAAGCATTCAATTATATTGCAAGATGTCATAGAACCATGTGCAAAGGTGGGATCCAAATGTATGAAGGCCTGCATGGTTTGGTATTAAGATGGATAAATTACAGGCAAATCAATGGCAATCAAATAAACATTTTGAGAAAATATCCTGTGCTTTAGGTAGTCCGTTGTAAGTTGCTTCTAGTATATCATATTATTAAATTAGACCAAATGAACATTGCTTTCCACTAAGAAAACTTTTTTTATTTTTAAACCATAATGCTTTACTTGTTACACTTATATGGCCAATAACAGAAGACTATTATGTCTAGACATAAGTGCAGCAGAGGTCATCGACTCATCATTGACCATAATCATATTTGGCTTAAGCCACAAAGCTAAAGTGTTCTTGTTGTTTGCTAAACCGTGGCCATAATTATACCTATTTTGTGAATGATGTGCTCTGCAAGATTTGTAAGAAAAAGTTTCTTCAATGTAAAATTTGCATAAGTATATACACCGTTATATGTGAATATATTTAAAGATCACACAAAGTCCATCTGAGGCACTTATATGTGTGCATGAATTCTACTTGCATTAATATGCTTAGTTAATTATTTATCAAAATTAATAACCCCCATAACTTAATCCAAACTGCAATAAATTAGTTATTTTGGTAGGCTTTTTGTCTGTCTGCTGTAAAATAAAGCTAGAATTTATTTTCGATAAATATTCATTTAAATTGCTTTCCAAAACACAATCATACGTAATCTCGCCTAGAATTACTGCCTCCACCTCAATGCAAACTGACACGACTCTTCATTTCATATCCAGGAGAATTACATTGACTTACACAGCATGTGGTAGCCTTTCAATAGCTGAGTTATTAAATTTGCAACATCCAACAGTCTGGAGTATTTGGGCACCACATGGCTTGGTAATAAGTTAACATCGCTTGCTGCAAATTGGATTGCATGGACACGACCTTTTGAGAAGAGATCCTCATTAATGAGCAATTGCAACTACTGCTTCATGAAACTATCCACACGTGTGTGACACAACCATATACTCCGAACATAAAGGTAAAGCCATATAAATGCCACAACTGCCTTTCATTAGCTAATCCGGGATATTTATTGTTCCGATAAAACATTTTAAACATTTAGCCAGCCTTGAATAAGGCCCAGGACAGAATGGTTAGTATTTTTAGTGGTCCATAAGCAAATTGAAGATGTTAAAATAACAAGGACCATAAATGTAAAACAGGCCGTATGCATGGCACAGGGCTATTAGAAACGGATGCATGCTCATAAAAGGGTTTCCAGATGGAACCGCAGAAGTGGTTGTAAGCTTTTTTGGCAGGGCACCAACTACCAACGACATCGCGACTAATTTCAAGTGTGTGCCATCACAGTGTTTTAAAATCATATTTTACGGCCGTAATTTAGTTTGCTACATTAAACATTATAGATCAGAATACGCTTTGGCCTACAAATTATTTTATAATGAGAATATTAAAAGAGTAATTGTTTTTAATACACATTTCAGAATTTGTTTTAATCTAAGACTTTGGAAGATTTACAAGACAAATATTAAACACTTGCGAACAATATAAATTAATACACAGTAGACCGTGACTTTGCTTTTACAAATGCTGGTTCTCGTTAAAAACCACTTAGAAATATTTCACAAGTTCAAAATAATACCCCCAGCAGAAGTCGGATAAGTACGCACTCGCAACACAGACACACGATAAACAGTTACCAATAATGTGATGTTTTAAACAGCTTTGGAAAAAAATTTGGGTCATGGGAGTATCCCTGAGAAAGAAAACTAAACAACAAAACCCAGGAGGAAATTTACTTGAAATGTTTTGACCCGAAGCAACCTGTATCCTGCAATAAGCCTGCAGTACAATCGCAAGAGAATTCGACCCCCCCCCCCCTGAAGAAACACTGCCAAGTAGTCGATGTTTTCACAGAAGGAGCTTCCATTGGACCAACATTATTTCTCATTCTTCAGTGTTGCAAAGGATTACTGGATAAAAATGCCTTGCTGCAGCACATTTGTTGTCCGTAAACGTAAATTGAACTCCAATTTATTCCTGATATTAAGTACTGGTGCAGTAGCTGTAAATACTGTAATGGTATGATGATAATGATGGATACTTCATTACTCTTCCATGTGTCGTCATTTGCCAGGTCCATCATGCGAGAATCACTAACTTTATAATCTGCACCAATTCATTTTCTCCTGATGTAGACACCATAATGTAATTCTTATTTTGAAAAATTACCTTTTAGTCAAGAGGTTTTGGAGAAATCAAAATTTCTACAGGCTTCTCTTTATCAAGGAATATCTTTCAGGGATAAATAATCAGCCCTAAAAAAGGTTTGAGTGATGAGATCTCACCAAGCTTAGCTGACTCCCCCACTGTGCTCCTCATATTTATTTTGTGCACACTTCACATTTTCCGATGCTGAGGATGAAGCATCAAGAGGGAATTGATGACCAACTGGCCAGACAAAATTAGATTTATTTTTTTTACTGGGTATGGAACCCATAACATTGTTTTCATCACTCTTTTAATAAATGTACCATCTGTCTGAAAAAAACCTCTGAATTGCTGCAGATGCACAAATATACTAATCAGACTAACTGTATTTAAAAGGGCATTATACTCATATTCTTCAATGGCCTTAACGATTAGTGTGGCGCTGCCGGATGAGAACTACTCCTTCGCTAATTTTTAATGCACGGAAGTTTTATTCGCTTGTAAATTATGTTTACGTACACCTTCATGTGCAAAGAGCTATAAAAAACTAAGGTCGTGTTCGAATGAATACTAATCATCGACAAACATTTCCAAAATGCCACCGTTTTTTATTGAAAATATCTTTAATGCTCTTGGTTGTTATTTCTTAACCACATAAGATCAAGTCTCCTTTTCTCCAGGTATGTTTACAGTGATTGCTATTATGATCTATGCCACTATGCTTGTGACTCATTGTACTGCTTATAAATTAAATATTTCAAATCAATTGGTTACTAACCATGTGAGTAACAATTGATTGATGAAATTCAAACTGGGAAACACATTTGTTTTTTGCCCACACAAGAATATTTTAATAGGTAATGTACGAATTTTTATCCGTCATAAAAAGGGAATTTGAACATTTATTTCTGAAAAACTATAATATCCCTGCACAGTACTCACGTTCTGGCGATCGCCCGTGAGGTGAGCAAACTCCACCATCTCGTTGCCAAACTGGCTGAACACCTGAACAAATTCCTGAAAGCTGCCCACATTTTCCAAGCGCTCCAGGCTTGCCAGGACCTGAGATGCATAACACAGATACAGAGCAGAAAAATCAGTGCACCTTCTAATTATGATCTATGAACACAGCCAAAGCCACATGTAGGGCATGGCAAATAGTACGAGCCAAATTCCCATTAACATGGCTTACGTCATTAGATGACCCGAGACAACACATTGCCTGAAATAATTCACAAGTGCAGTTACTTTTATCTGAGGATCATCAAACGATCCACTGTGATTTAATGGTGGGGAAAATGCTTGTCTGTAAGGTCCTAATGGCTCACACTCTATCATGCTCTTGATAGTGTCATGCAATTCCAACATTGTGCTTACTCGACTTGCAAAAATATCAATAAAGTGGCAGTACATTAGAGGTGGCTGCATACATAATAGTAAAAGATAACTGACATTGCGTTTGACTTCTTAAATTCAGCGTGAGAGTAAACAGCGTAGAGACAAATAAAAGCAGCTCAGGAATGATCGCTGTGAGTGCGTCGCTCTGCTCTCTATGGGGGGCGCACCTTGCTCCTGGAAGTGACGATTTGTTTGATGACAACGCGATCGGCAAGGACGAGGACTCTGGTGACCGAGGAGAGCAGCAGGCGAGCGGAGCGCGCCAGGACGCCACGCTCGGACAGAAGCGGGGCAGACATTGGCGTTGCAGAGCCAGGAGCCCGGGGGGATTCCAAGTCAGGGCCGTCCGTAGCGCATGCCTCTGTCAGTCGGTTTATAGCTTCCCCTGCACATGGTACCAATACGTGCAACTCAATACAGCTTTAGCCTTGAGAGACGTGTCATGGCATGGTGTGCTGCGTGATGCAGCAGTGTGGTGTGATGTCGTGCTGTGGAGTGATATGGTGGGATGGAATGTCATAGCTGGGTGATGTTCAATTGGCATCAGTTCAGTCTTAACGGGGAGAAGTAATACATCAGCCCGTGTGTCTGGGTTACAGGACAGAACAATCTGGAAAATGTAGTACCTGCTATTGGCACCTCTCAAACAATGGGATTGACCATCCAGGGATAAATGATTGACCTGACCCACTCAAAACTTTGCACATATACTACTGCTGGGTTCTCATAAAGAAGTAGACATTTTTAATATAAATGCATGCAAATAAGTTGAGTGAGTTACCATTTTTTTTTAAATGTATGTTATTCTCCAACTGCACTACTGGTGTCACGTGCTGTAATTTACACGTTGTTTTTGCAGCAGTGTTCTGATTTTCTCTGTTTAGTTGAAATCTGTCACATGCAGCCTCTTTAAACTTAAAACTCATTCACTGCACCTTAAATACTTTTCTTGAACGTAAACACATTTATCCCGTTCATTAGTAGGGATATGTATTTTGCATATATCGATTTTTTCAAGTAATTTTATTAAATAACCAGCACGTAATGAAACAAAATAGTGTATAAGAAACTCCACAATGGTGATAGTAGTTAGTCTGCATCCTCAGCTCGCATGAGGATACGCGATGGATTATTGCATCGCAAGACCATAAGAGAAGGTGGCGGCTTGGGGGAGGCCTTCATGAAGCAGTGAATAAATCATGGCTGATGATATCAATGATGATTAAGCACATTATTGTATGTTACACAATATACAATACTGTATATTGATATATTTTTTTTATAAAAGTGGGAACATGTACTGCGTTGTCGTATATTATTACGGTAAGATTTACGTATTAAACCGTTCAGATTTAGTCGTAATGTACTGCATTGGGACACATATTTTGTGATAACGATGATTAGACTGATGAGACAGATGGGTCCGGCTGCGTTAAACGCCCCGTGTCCCCGGGGCAGCGATGCAGGGTGGGGGTGGGGGGAGCGGGTGGTGGGATGGAGCTGCGCGCACCTGCGGCTCGGGCCTCCCGGCACGCCAGGCTCATCTCCGGCCGCAGCTCGGGGTTCTCCTCGGCGATGGCCTCGCCAATCGCCACGAACCGCTCCACGGCCACGGAGAGTGACTGGCCCACGCGCCGCACCGCCCGCACGGACCGCTCCGACTTGTGCCACTTTTCCTTGTGGCTCACGAGCGTCGTGATCTGCATGGTGGCGGCGGTGGTGGGGAACGGCACAGACACAAATTACCAGTCACAGATTGCAGCCAACATGTCAACGATGGCCCCATTAAAGATTGTAATCGACGGGTGTGAGTTAATACGTTTCTCGAATTGAGCAAGGTTGTGAGAAATTATTCACGTGCGTACTCCGTACAGGACGATCCGTTCATAGATTTCCCACTGCATAATGATGTAATGACCCTTTTACTTTCTTCTCGACAGGTGATTGAATGATGTGAAAGTGATGGCTCCACATCTCACAGAGGTGAGCGATAAAAGATTTATTAAGTGTATTGAGGTTGGCAGGAAACATGTGGAGGCTTTGAAATAAAATGCAGTTTTTTTATTAATTCCTCCAAATTATTTTAGTGGAGTACCTATAAATATATGAGCCTATATATCTATATATATATATCACAGTTGCTGACCAAAAACTACAAGTGGCCAGAAACAAACAGCACTATTAAAGTTGTAATAGACAAGCATGAATATATCATCATCCTGGGTTGAACAAGGTTATAAGAAATTGAGAAAAAGAGACGATGGGAGGGAATTTCAAAGTGAAGCGGCGGCGAGAGGGACGAAGCGCAGTGTGTGGTGGCCGAACACGGCGTGGATGAGACGGAACATTCTAGTAGATTGAGTCCTCAACATGGGAGTAGAATCCCAATAATTGAAGTTCAAGAGAACAGTAACCATGGTAGAAGCAATTTTTGAATGATAAGGAGGTGAATGAGCGCCTGTGGGCGAACGGCTGCTGTGAATCGGTGAGTGCTGGAGCATCAATCAACGCGACTGCTTCATGTTGAATTATCCACCCCAGATACAGTCCGGCATTCTACAGATTACCGTTCCTCGCGTTATTGATCAAAAGGAAATATCTTCACGATTAATTATAGCGTTGGTGAAAATGTAGCCTGAAACACCAGCAAGGAACCTAGGCAGGATTTGTTTTTTATAGAGTGGGTGCCTCAATGTAGTCTTCCCAGGTTTCATGCGTTTATCAAAATCACCCACAATGGGCCCCATCCTAGAAGCTAAGCCGTGTGAGCCTGGATAACTCTTGGATGGTCGACCACCATTCATAAATAAATCAAACTCAACACATTCGTCAAGAACATTGAGATTTTTTTCGTGTCTGCTTTTGCACCACTTGCCAATGCAACAGCATCAGCGAATAATTCGTACAGCGGGTGATTTGTCAGTTGCTATTTTGTCAACAGTGGGCAGTGCAGACATATCCATTGTACTGTACCGTGCTCCTGGCCTTTACCAACTCAACGTGGTGAAGTATGGTCAAATAACCCCCTCGCAAACCCGCACAGTGAGGGGAGGAGTGACAAAAGGGGCCTCCACTTTCCCGCACCTCCGATTAGCACGGTTGTCTACGTACGGTGCGAAATAAGTTCAACATACATCCACTTAGCATCATTACCGCTCAATGTGCAAACGGCGCGATGCCATTCACTATGAAGTTATGTAATGTGAATCCCCAGAGCTTCCGCACTTTTATCTTAATCTTAAAATATTCAAAGTTTGCTTCTTCGCGCATGCCTTGTAGAAGTTTGTTGATTTTAAAACATATTTTCTGTTCAAGTGGTTTCATGGTATTCTAGTCGATTAAAATCACGTCAATCCGAATACAACTAAAATTACGTGGCACAGACTGTTAAAATAAAATGAACAAACAACCGACTGCAGTATTCTCTAGAGTTCACAGGGAAATGAACAACTTTAAAAGAAAAATACTGTTGCCCAAACCAAACATTCTGACCAACGGCGTGTGTCGTCAATTTTAGCAAAACAACTATTCCAGCATCATTCCCCGTCAATGATGTATTGGCAATTCCAAAAGCAATTTCCATGTACACCTATCAGTTTGAATAATGTCGTGTTTTTAATTTGCTTATCACCAGTGCCAAAGCAGTTTAAAAGTGTTCTATGCGTCAGAAGCTATGATTAATGAGCCACAAAAAGCACAACATCAGGGATAAAGTATCCAACAGTCTCTTAAAGTAAAGGCATTATGAATTTTTTTTACTCACAATACAGTTTTTTTTATTTTTCAAAAACAATCCTCTAAGGGTTATTGTTTTGAGAGCTCAGATGATTGGCGAAGAAATAAGGAATACTATGAAACCTCAATGCATTCTAATAAACATAAAGGCTTCCAGAAAGCATTCTACCAAAGTCTTATTCGACATCAACTAACAAGAACAACTGCCGCCGCTCGCTGTAAAAACCATCACGCTTGTCAGACTAAAACATGTACATTTCAAGAGCCAATGTCCTAAACAGCTGCCCCCGGTAATATACGCGAGTCCAACTTCACATATGCATGAGATGCGTTATTACATCCATAAGCAGACATCAGATATTCCGGTGTACTTTTTGAAAGATAATTACATTTACCACTCAAGTTGCCTATTTAAGTACTATATAATAATCCCTGGTAAAAAAAAAATATATAATGCTATGAAGGAATCCAGTTGGATACACCCACAAACATTCATGTTCTTTTAATGCCTGACCCACAAAACTAAATTAAGCTATAAATATACTTAACCTTAAATCTAAAATATCTTGCAATCAAAATATTCTCCAAGATACATTGAAGGTGGAATTGTAACAACTTTGTAAAGGATGCATGCACAGTTAGCATGCAGTATAAAAGTTCTCAGAACAAAAAAACTGCTTTATACCTGTCCACTGAGATCAAAGTAAAACTGCCAAAATATTCCGCTGTGACTTATATAAGTGGTTGATGTAAGCCTGCACTTGCAAGTCTGCAGTAAAAGGAACACATAAATGAACAATCAGATTTATCCTCACCATCCTTGTCGGCAGTACTCTATGCAATGCAGCCTGGGCAAAAAAAGAGCAAGGCATTGTGGTCCTTATACAATACATATGCCTGAAATTATTTTAAATTACACACATTACGAGTTTATATATTTTGTCAGAACATATCACGTGATATATATATCATAAGCACAAATGTATATTAAAGTTTTTACTAGGTTAGGGATGGAGTGATGGATTAATGGATCGTCAGGTAATATTATTTATGAAGGTCCCGATACACGCATCGAGTCACGTGTGTAGGAATTGATTTGTTTAAATGTTTAAATGTGTATATGTTGTATGTAATTTGGTTCGCGTGACCTTTGCAGCCACGAGTGTCACCACTGTTCACTACAATGTAAAAAAAAAGATAAACGATTCTTAAATTGAATCGCAACCTTTAATCACAGTGACTCATTGACTCGCTGCGGGGAGTGAATCATTCCACCCATGATTATCATCAGTGACAAGCCCATTAAACTATATATTACAAAAAAAACTACAAAACTGAGCGTAATCTTTGAGGTATTGCACTTATTGAAAGTTTTACTAATTCATTAATTGTGCCTCAAGAGGCTCAAGTTAGAATGTTGGACAAGAGATGCCAATCGAAGCGAGTTAAATGTATTACACGAATACGACTTCGTGTAGCCATGTGCTACCTGCAGCCCTGATCTTAGGTGCGAGTCGGTTGAAAATTCCCGAATATTTCCGTCGCCTTTGTGACAATCCCCTTGCCACAGCTGCTTTATAGCGACCAATGCACAGGGGCGATCAGGAGAGTCGCTTCGCTTGCATTTGTTTAAACCTTCGCGACTCCTTCCAAAATGCCAAGGCAAATTCCCGAACTGGAACTTTTTTTTCAGCTCAGCTTCTCGTTTAGCTCCTGAGTGTAACCTCCATCCCAATGGTACAGGCGTTTCAGCTTATGTTGCTGTACCCCGGTGTGGGACTGGGAGAACAAAGCAGTGTTGTTCCCTTGGGCAGGAGCAGGCTGCAAGACCTTTAAAATGCAGCAACGTGTTTTGCTGTGTTGTGGTTTTCTGGTCAGGTCAAACGCAGCAGTTTAACGTTTGCGCCCATAGGCGCAAGTGACTCGTCTGCCATAACGAGTCTCGGCTCTGAGCCACACTTGAGAAGATGCAAAAAGACAATGGTCAGCTCTTAACACACTTCCCAGCTGTCCCATAATGAAGGTCTGCTACACCTAATGAGGCCTGGATACCAGTGGCGGGCCATGTATTTTACACCCAGGCCTTCAGTGCTATCCTCCCGCAATTAAACCGCCTTCGAATCACCTCACCAATGACATTCGGGCTATAGGCTATTGCCAGTCGACATAAGCACCCCATATTCACAGTGACAGTAACCTTTATCGAGTGGAATAAAGTGATTTAACACGAGGCTCAACACCTATGAGAGTTAGAATACACTAATTGCAGAGATATTAATACATGGTGACTGAAACCATCAAGGATGTACCACTATTACGCAGTATGACAGGATGCTGCATCACAAATATATATCGCATAGCCCAAATCAATTTCATTACCAAAGAAACAAGAACTAACTCACAACAACCAGTCACTCATACGACCACTAAGCAAGCAAAAATGCCATAAAACACAAATAACACAATCAGGATTCAACAGGCTTCCCCACAGAAAATAAAAACTAAAAATCTAAAGCACTACATCTAAAAATCTAAATGTCACGAAAAAAAGTTTTAATAAATCATAGATGATGCTACGTTACATGCTAGCTAGTTTTACTTCAGTCAGCTAACTGGCCCTCTGATAACGCCACACGAAAAATGCTAACGTAGGCGGCTAGGCCAGCTAGAAGGCTCCAGCGTGTCAAAGAATACACCCAACATGGCAAACTCGAAATCTGATTGGTTAAATAATATGGCAATCAACAACATCGTTCCCATTTGCTTCAACAGCAGAGGGGATTCACTCGACATTCTGAAGGCCTCAGGGTCGATTTTTCACCCGGAGAGGCAGAGACAGCACAGGTGGAAAATCTGATTGGATAAAAGTTCTAATTTATTAGCTGCACTGGAAGCAGCGCAACTGAGGGAGAGAGTAGCAGTGAAACGACGTTAATAGACTGATGGGAACGAACTTAGTAAAATA